CCTGTAAACTTGGGGCCATAGACTTGAAACCCTCTGTTAGCTCACGACATCCTCCTGTGAAGTTTGTTCCATTGTCACATAGAAGTTCGAAGGGTTTGCCTCTTCGTGCCACTAGGCGACGGAGAGAGAGCAGGAAGGCATCTGTGTCCAGGTTCTCTAGTAAGTCTAGATACACACATCTTGTGGTCATACACTTATAAAGTATGCCCCATCTCTTTTCCTGACGCCGTCCAACTTTGACCAAGAATGGGCCAAAGCAGTCCACCCCAGCGGAGTAGAATGGAGGCTTATACACTCGCAGTCTGGAAGGAGGAAGGTCAGCCATTTGGGGGCCTTGAGGTTTAGCTCGCCAGAACTGGCAATCTTTACATGTATGTTGGTGTTTGCGAATAGCTTCACGACCTCGAAGAATCCAGTACTGGCGACGAAGCTCAGCTAGTACACGTTCAGCACCGGGGTGATGAAGCCTTTCATCGCAGTCCTTTATCAACAGCCTAGTGATGTGATGTCCTGGATCCAGAACTATGGGATGGACTGTCTCTACTTCCAAGTCCACTGCCTGCCGAAGCCGTCCTCCAACTCTGAGAAGACCAGTAACATCTTCGTACTCTGGAGCCAAGGAGCATAGACGACTGTCCGATGGCAGCGGTTTCTTCGCTTTAAGGGCCTTAACTTCTTGTGGGAATGAATCCAGTTGAGCCTGGACCAGATGTCTCCTCTCTGCAGCAACATGATCTGAAGCATCAGGCCCAGTGTCCAAATTGGGGGCAGCCGCCCCGTGAGGAGACCTCACACTGGCTTGGATCAGCTCCCTCCAGGTCTGAAACTGCTTGGGGTCTGGTAGTTCCGGACTTGATGCTATGGAAGTTGCACCAATGAAGGCACCTTTCTTGAGCTCATGTTGTTCAGGTTCNTGCCAGCAATTGTCGTAAACCATCAACCACAACCTTAGCGTCGGCAGGATCTGGTGTGCTGTAGAGGCAGTTATCCACATAGAAGGCCCGTGTCACAATTTCAATCAGACTGGGCATATCAGCTGCATGTTCTTGTGCATGGTGCTGAAGGGCATAGATGGCGCAGCACGGGCTACATGTTGTTCCAAACGGAAGGACCTGCCATTCATAAATGGTTGGCTCATCTTCTCTCTGCATATTTCTCCAAATAAAGCGGAGAACCGGCTGGTCACTTGGCAGCAAACATACTTGGTGGAACATGCTGCGAATGTCTCCACTAATTGCAACAGTGTGCTGACGAAATCTCAGAAGTACACCTATCAAAGATGGGCCAAGTGTGGGACCCGGGAGCAACTGTTCGTTTAGAGACTGACCTTTATACTGGAAGGAGCAATTAAAGACAATTCNCAATATGGTCACCCAGTTAAGGAGTTGTACCCCCAGTCTTTCTGACACAGCCGCCCCCAATTATTTACATTAAAAATTGTACATAAATCAGAAAGACTACTTAGTTTGAAATCCCTAAGAGTCCTCAGTAAACTGTGGAAGCTGGATCAGCCTAATAACTGGTCGTGTGTAAATCTTGTCCTTTACCTTCACTGTGGCAGTGCGTACTCGCCTATCCGGTCCTCTGAAGGTCTCAATAACTGTACCTACAGGCCAGAGAGCTCGTGGTAGACGTGGATCAACAATGAGGACAACCTGACCTGGAGTAGGTTCTTTACCATCAGTCCTCCATTTTTGGCGCTGTTGCAGTCCTGGGAGGTAGTGTCTGATGAAGGATGCCCAGAAGTTGTCGGCCAACACCTGGCTGTGTCTCCATCGTCGCTTCCCTAGCAAATCCTCCTTGTCATACAAGGCCTGGGGAAGAGATGAATCTCGTCGTCCCATGAGCAGCATATTGGGTGTTATGGGATCAGGATCTGCCACGTCTGTCGACACATAACCCAAAGGTTTGCCATTAAGGATGCCCTCCACCTCAATGAGAAGGGTCCGCAGAACTGGCTCAGGAACAGACTGCTCTCGTAGGACAACTCTCAGTGCTGTCTTTACTGACTTAACTTCTCGTTCCCATGTACCTCCAAAGTGTGGGGCAGCTGGCGGATTAAACCGGAACTTGATCTTCTGCTCTGCCAGCTGTTCCTGTAAACTTGGGCCCATAGACTTGAAACCCTCTGTTAGCTCACGACATCCTCCTGTGAAGTTTGTTCCATTGTCACATAGAAGTTCGAAGGGTTTGCCTCTTCGTGCCACTAGGCGACGGAGAGAGAGCAGG